GGTATAGTGACTAAAGTTACAATGGCATTGAAAAAAGTGACTGATGACCATTTTTCACACTTAGCGACCATTTTCACACTTAGCAACCGTTGCAGCATCCTCATGGTCACGCGATCAAAATTTTTGATGTTTGGCAACAGATTCATATTTATGATGGTTTCAGTGTCCTGGGGTCATTTTAATTGTCTTTTGTGACCTTTTGACAAAGTCAAATGGGGAAACCAGATTCACTTATGTTACTAACTTATCAGCTGCAGTTATTCACTTAAGAACTGTGGCAAGAAAGGTGGTATAGTGACCAAAGTTACAATGGCATTGAAAAAAGTGATGACCATTTTTCACACTTAGCGACCATTTTCACACTTAGCGATCGTTGCAGCATCCTCATGGTCACGTGATCAAAATTTTGATGTTTGGCAACAGTTAAAATTTATATTTGTAAATTGTAGTTATGTTGAAATAAAAAAATATTACAATAGTATTTTTGCGTGGTATGAAAATTTTTGTTGCTCCATATAAAAATTTTAATCAAGCCCCCACGTCCCTCTTTACCAATCTGAAAATCTGGCCACCTTAGCTTAGAAGTGAAATCTACCATGTTCTATTAGGTATAGTTGCTAGTACATTTATGATTAGAGTCTTATTGTTAGCCAATAAATTGTTCATCAAACCTGTGGTTTTCAAATTGTTCTTCTGTTAGCCCATGTTCCTTTCATAATTCAGGAGCAGGATTGTCTGTTGTTAGCTTCTTTTATGGATGAGTCACAGGACACCATCACACATTATCAAGACAATAAGAGCAAGAGAATTACTTGTTTTATTCTTTTTTCCTGACTATAGATTTTAGACTACTGTAACATTATGTTCTCTCCGTGCAAGGAAACATAGGAACTATATTTAATGGATATTTCTCAGCACCACCAATTCCTGCAGGGTTGAAATAGAGGTGTTTTTTTTTAGGGTATTGAAGATGGCCAGGAAGAAGTCTTCACATCTGGCAACATTTTTCCCATTATGAGTTTAGAGTTCTGCCCTGGCTTTGGAGGCTGGAAGGGCAATTATTTAACTCCTGAGTGGCAATTCTAGGTCCAACCTTGTATTACAATTTCTAAAATTCATTTGCTTGACACAATGAGGTTATCATAGTGGCATAAAACGTCCCTATGCATCAGGGGTGGGTTCTGGATTCTTTTACTGTTGGTTCGCTCAGGGATGCTCTTCAGGCACGCATGCATTTCACGCAGTAGTGAAAAATTTGCTCTGCGCATGCACAGAAACAAAGAACAAGATGGCAGTGCCTATGGTGCTGCTCATAGAACCAGTTTGGGGGCGTGGGTAGCCAAGTTACTACCTACTCGGCCAAACTGGGCCGAACCAGTAGGAACCCACCTCTCCTATGCACTCTATACATTTGCAAGATCTTGGGATCTTCTTAGAACATCCTGAGTTCTATGGAAATATGGGCCTTTCCATTCTTTAGCTAGCCCGTAGCCCCCAAAAAGCAAGGTATGCAATCCAGGCTGCAAATATCTGAGCAACAACTGTTATATAGGATGGACCATTGGAACAGTTGCAGCTTCTCCCACTGGTAGATTAATTGAATGAAAGACAAAAGAGGCTCTTCCCAGACAAAGGGGTACTTAAGCCGTGAAATCTGTTCTTCAAAAAGTTATGTCTTCCCTGCCTCTTGAATTCCAGGAATAGTGTTGCTCTGAAAGAAAAGATATTCTGCTGATAAAAAGAAAAGATATTTGGCAACAGATGACCTGCTGGTCCAACTCTTCTCTCCCGTGATAGGAAGCCAACACTCCGCAGTCTCTTGAAGGCTGCTGGAATATAATGGCTGTATCACAGCTGGAATGTCTGTCTGGCCAAACAAGAAACATTTCCTTTTTAAGAGATAGGAAGCCCTTACTTGGAAATTGGCAGCAGAAAGTGCCTGAAAACGGCATTGCTGGGTAGCAACCGATCTGAAGTTGGCACCTTTCAGCCATGTCAAGTCTGCAATTCATAGACTCCCTCTTCCTTCTTCTAAAAAAAGGGTCCCATTATTAGCATCAACAAAGTCAGTTGCAAGGAAGAGTTCCCAGAGACTCCCCCCCCCTCTTCTAGTCATTTACCTGGCTTTTGAAATATATTTTTCAATATCTGAATGCAAAATGTTTTTTTTAAAGAAAACCTCTGGGAAATTCAAATTTATGAGGGCTTCTTTTTTTGGCTTGTTCTATAATAGCCCTTAGCATTTAGACTTATATGCCACTTCATAATGTTTTTACCATCCTTTCTAAGTGGTATATAGAATCAGCATATTGCCCCCATTGGAATAGAATAGAATAGAATAGAAGAGAATAGAAGAGAAGAGAAGAGAAGAGAAGAGAAGAGAAGAGAAGA